TTAGGGTTTGTACAGTGATTGCTTTGGCCCGTTACGTGTCATCGTCAGCCTGAGGTATGCTTCATTTTCCTCTCCAATCGATGTGGGATCTATCTAACAATCCACCCCCTTAGTGGCCCAGCATCCTCGCTGGTACACCACTCGGTGTCTAACTCTGATACCATTTGTAACAATTCAAACCCACCGCTAGCAAATATTATCTATTTTAGTCCGTTTACGTATTGAAACACATTATTACTAATAATAACAATGTTTGAAAAATGTGGGGTTTCATAAGAGAATTAAGTGGGCAAGCAAGGAGTAACATCATATTAAGTATAATTTCAACTTCAAAATATTATTTCTTTTTCTATGATATGTTACATTTATAGTGGTTTTTTTTATAAATTTTGCTAAAAAATATGTTAAAAGATTTCTCTTTTTCTTTTAAAATTGAAATTAGTTTATGTTAATTAAAAATATATTAAAATATAAGTGATTTATGTATCGACATTTTTTAGACTCAATCTAATTATTCGGGTTATAATTTTTTTTTATTATAAAATATTTGAGTTGGATTGATTTAAATTGTCGGGTTGATTTGGTTCGACCCAAGGGGTATTTTCGGAATATTAGAAATATTTAGTCTTCAAAATTTCCTCCAATTTATGAATCTTTTTGACTTGACTATTTTCACACTAAACAAGGCTTTAGCACTTGGCCCATTTTGAGGCCCATAATTTAAACCATTCCTCTTAAAATTATAATATTTATTATTTACTCGATAGGTTACCGAACATTCTTGTTCCAGGTCTTTTCAAAATTATCTCGAGCTACTTATTCTTTCTTCAAATGGGTCGGAACAATTCGATGAATTTAGTCAATAACTAGTACTCTTTCTTCCTTCCACTGATTTAGCCAACCATTTTGTGATGTCTCACATTAGTCGGAGAAGAGAACGAAACATGGAAACCTTCCCCTAGCATACGCGTTATTCTTGTTCCACGTCTTCTCGAAATTATCTTGAGCTACTTACACTCTCTCCAAATGGGTCGGAACAATTCGATGAATTTAGTTGATAACAACTACTCTTTCTTCCTTCAACTGATTTAGCTAGCCATTTTCTGATATCTCACATTAGTCGAAGAGGATAACGAAACATGGAAACCTTCCCCGAGCATATGCATTTTTAAGCCTTGAGCAGAAGCCCGAAATGGAAAGTACAAAGAGGACAATATTTGCTAGCAGTGGAGCTGAGCTATTACAAACGGCTCTACCATTGAGCTATTGAGAAACACCATACAGAACAATATTTGTTAGCAGTGAATTTGGGCTGTTACAAACTGCTCTACCACTTAGCTATTGAGAAACAGCATAAGTGAAAAGCTCATTTTCTAGTACTGTTGTACAATGTTCTTGCCTTTGGTAACCTTTCATGAAACAACATTCAAAACTACATTTTAAAATTTGATGATTTATTCTGATATGAAACAAAAATTTGAATGGTCAGAGTTATTTAAGTCCATGTTTTAATTAATTTCTACTCCAAAAATAACTTTGAAACTTCCATTGAAACTTTTGGAGAAAAAAAATATTAGCCGGGTTTGGTTCGGGGTCGGAGTGAGGTTCGGGTATGGATGGAGTTGAGAGCAAGAAGATAGGCAGATTCCGCAGCACCAACCAAAGCAGAGATCCATTTTTCTCCATAGCCCTACCTTTTCCTCTTCTCCATATTCTCTCTGTCACTTTCCCGAGAAAATTCCACAAACACGAAAGCGATCCAAGAGGGGAAAACAAAATCAAAAACCAAAAAGCATCTTCCTATCTTCAATTCGCCAACAGCCGCGCACTCCAGCCGCCCCTAGATGTGATCGATCACACAAATCTCCGCCGCAATCGCAACAATCATGGTAAGAATTCGATCCAAATCGGAACACCTCCATTGCCGAATCGGTTACCTAATTCTCCTATCGATCGATTGATCGATCGCGCTCTTTTTCCTGAAATTTCTTCCGATTTTGCGTTGAATTAGGTCAAAATCGGAGAAATCGACCAGAAAGAGGAAGAACAAGAAGAAGAAGAGGAAGAAGATGAAGTTGAATGGCCGCCATGGCTGGAACCTCTGCTGAGCACGAGCTTCTTCGTTCAATGCAAGCAGCACGCGGATTCGCACAAAAGTGAATGCAATATGTATTGCTTGGATTGCATGAACGGAGCTCTCTGTTCGCTCTGTCTTGATTCGCATCGAGATCACAGAGCCATTCAGGTATGCTCTGTTCTTTGAGATTCTTTGATCGGATTCTTTCGCTTTCGTGTTGCGAAGAATTTCTTCAATTATTGAATTTTCTTTTTTTAATTTTGATTTTTTGGAAAATATTTAATTGAAGCCTACGTGGAAATTACTGTTTGTTACCTACTAACAGCAACAAGATGTCAAATCATAACTATATTAACTGTGAAAGTCTCTCTTTATCTTTATTTTATTATTTTATTATTTTCTCTTTCTTTTTTCAATCAAGAGGTTGTTGCTAAATTTTGAAAAGTTACTTCTCTGTTTTCAGGTAAAGGTAAAAAAGTAAAAAGTAAAAAGTAAAAAATAATTTGTATCAATTAATATTTAAATCCGAGTCTTTTCCCTACCACATATTTCAATCTCTATTTAAAAATTTTAATGTATTTTCGTGAATGTTTTTTTTTATATATTTTTTGAAAGAATATTTTTAATAAATAATTTTTATCTTTTAATATAATTTCAATAAAAAATTATATATATATATATATATATATATATATAACTTTGGCTCTCGACTCAGTTTAGTTAATATATTGTTTTCTCCTCCATTTTTTCAACTTGGGTGAGTTTCTCGACTCGTGAATTAAATGAACGTTTCTAGTTAAAAATTATTGTATTTTTGGGTAATGGAATACAGATAAGGAGATCGTCGTACCATGATGTGATAAGAGTATGCGAGATACAGAAATATGTGGACATAACAGGAGTCCAAACTTACATCATAAATAGTGCGAGGATCGTGTTCTTGAACGAGCGCCCTCAGACACGTCCTTCGAAAGCTCTCACTAACATCTGCCTTGTTTGCCACCGTTCCCTTCTTCATTCCTTCCATTTCTGCTCTCTTGGCTGCAAGGTTTTTCTTTCCACCTTTTTTTTTTCTTTTTAATTATTCATTTCTATGCTCTTCTCTCCTTTTGAAAATGTTTTTCAAAAATCTTAAAAAAGAAAAATCGCGAGTAAATATCTTCTTATTTTGTTTATATTTTGATTTGGGGACGGGTATGATCTATGAACTTTTACAAAGATTATGAAGAATTGCTTTGCACATAAATTGAAACGTGAAGGTGTTTTGAGTAGAGTCGAGTTATTAAATTTGTAGCGGTTAATATCATGACTTGTAGATCGACATTTTCGTTTTTATGAATTTTTCATTTTTTTATAAATAATATTGTGAATTTATATTTTATAAATACAGCTAATTGGGACGTCGAGAAATTTTGAGAAAAAGGAGAAAGTGATGGAAAACGAAAGCTCGGACACCGCCACGAGCAACAGAAGAAGGCTTAGAAGCAAAATCCAAAGCTTCTCGCCGGCGACGCCACCACCCACGGCGGCGGCGACTCACAAAGCTGGCAAGAGAAGGAAGGGAACGCCACATCGATCCCCAATGGGAGGACTTCTCTTAGAATTTTAAATATTTATTATAATTATGAAAAGACGAAAATACCCTTACAACCACCACCGACGCATAAGCCCAAATTATTACTATTTTTTGCAGCATCTGAGCCTTTGGCCAGCGGTTAACGGAGGCCGTTGCTGTAAAAGTCACATCTCTGTTATATATATAGTGCATAAGAAATGTATTTTCTTGTAATTTAATAAAAAAAAAATAATAATCATTATATGTAGTTGTTTGAGCTAGTAGATTTGGTGAAGTCTAGTCACCATCGTCATTAGGGCTAGCATGACTTTTAAGATGAAACTCGATCTAATTTCAAATCTCGGACCTATGATACTGATTGGTTGACCCGATTTCAAATGGTCAAACTTACCTTCAACCTTTAAAGTTAATCATTAAATCAAAGTTTGGAAATGGATTGACTCATTAGTCGGCCCAATTTTTAAAATGGTAATCCACATCCAGACTGCAACAATCAACTTTGACTTTGGGCCGAACTTGGATTGATCTTGAACTTTGGACTCGTTGATGAGCCCGACAAATGAATTTGAATTAAATTGTGAAAATAATTTCACTTTTTTATTTTTCCCACTTGATCGTGGAAATAATTATAAAAATAGTTGAAATGATCATATCTATACATGGTCATCATATCTGTACATCCTAAGATAATCTATGATTTCATAGTTTGTTACAATGTAGTCCTAATTATACACATCTATAAATACATGAGGTCGTGACCCATATAGGGTACTGTGTCATTCAACCTAACATGATCAACCATAGCTGATTTCACGTGATACAATATAATTTAATTTGGATTAGAAAGGTAATTATTTTGTATACTTTATTATTTTCATTTTAATTATTTGTAATATCAAATTCATACAAATATTTTTCTACCCTTTTCTGATTGAAAATTTGTCAAGTTAAAGTCAACCTACTTAGTAACAAGGATGATGCATTGTCTATTTCTCGTTATCGCTCAAGAGCCAAAACGAACATGCATGCTGCCTATTATACTGGACCTTCAACTAAGTATTCTACCCTTATTGAATCGAAACCAATCACCCCGCTATAATAATAGGAGAAAGGAAAACGCTCGAACAGTTAAGAGGCCGCCGACCAACAACTTCCATCCACAGAGAGATTCATTCTTTGTATCTGGTCCAATTTCACACTGTCTTCTTTAGTAATTTTTTCATACTCAGTTCAATTCAATGCTTCCATAAAAAGAATAATTTAAGAATATATCTTCTAATGACGTGAGAAATATTAATAAGATATTAATAAAAAAAGAAAAAATGGGTTATATTTGATTTGTGCACAGAAATTTGAGGAACATCGAATTTGTGTAACATCGAAATGGAAAAACAGAGGGAGAAGGCTAAATCTGAAGAAATGGAGAAGCTCTGCCGAAGATGTAATCGGTCCTATCTTCCATCCTCCAATTCATCTTCTTCATGCCGTTTCCATCCTTCGTTTTTCGTCTGTCGCCGCCATGACGACCAGAAGAGGTAACCTAGAATCTTCCCCATCATTCATCCACTATTGAATCATACTCGTTCCTCCTTGGGAACCCTTTCAATTGCTCTTGCTTGAGTTTTTGAGTCATTCTCCTTGCTTTTTTGAAGTGATTAACTGAATCTTAGTGTTGAAATAAGTCATTACTGGCAGGGAGAGATTTTGAAGCCAGTGGGTTATAACTACAATCGGGCATTTTTGCTTTTGAATCTTATGGTTTTAGTGTAGTTATTGTACTTGGTGATTGTTAAGTTTAGTTTTGGTGTAATGATTGTTTGGATCTTTTGGCAGAAAAAAAAGAAAAAAAAAAAAAGAGAGGAGAAGTAATTGGCTTTTGGCGCTAGGATTAACGGGATAGATGATTTCAAGTTCTGTATGATACGAGATAAAGGAATTTATGTTTGCACCATAGTTTGCATTAGAGCTTTACAGTTTAATAAACAAATTATGATCTTTTTATCCTCTCTCTCTCTATTGAAGGGATGTGATCTTAAATCTTGAATTTGTATCTAAAACCATTCTTTATGTAGCTGCTGATCTGCAATTGGCTGTGTGACTGAAATGCTGCTTTCTTTTGTTTCGTTTCCATAATTTAAGAGCTTACCACATGATCATTTACATCTGAATAATTTCAAATGGTGCAAAACATCACTTTATCCAGTTAAACCATAGGATACAAGAATAAGAGAAACTGTTTCATTTCCATGTTTGAATGTTGATATTGTAAACTCTGCTTCTGGATTCATGAAATTTTCTGTGCTGTTTCTAAGATTGAAGTCATTGCAATTCCTCCATGTAAAACGCAGTATAATACAGAGGGAATATAAAACGCCCTCCAGAAGCCTCCTAGTAGCTCATGGTTCCAACTACAATATTGATAGTCGGGGAGTATTTGCAACAAATGTTAGAAAGCAAGCCAGGTGCAATCCGTAAAGCAAACCCCTTCTGAACGATATCGAGTAAATGCTCACTCGGAAGGGGTTTGTTTTACCGATTCCACGTGGGCTCGCTTTCTAAATTTGTTGCTATTACTTCCCCACATGATTGTAGAAAATACTCCCCAATTATTGATCTTGCTCGTTGGCTTTGTATAGTCTTTGAGTACCTGATTATTGGGGAAGTTCTTCTGTTAAGTAACTCAAGAAAGGGTCGCCCCTCTATTGTGGACCTATGATTTGGGGAAGAAACTGCGAAGTGTAAGATTTCTTAGCTTAGGGTCAATCCAGAATTTTGTAGATTCTCCATTTCCTTCCCCGCACCTTATTTTTGTGACAAAATATCCTTGCACTTGACATTCCATACTAGGGGCTCCTTGTAGAAAGAACGTCTGGCTTTATACCAATTCAAGGCTAAGAAAAGAAAACAAATCTTCTCTCTTTAAATTTTCTGATTCTACTTCACATTTTTCACTTGTCTGCTTCATTTTCTCTCCTGCATTACGTGGAAGTTTGAATAAATTTGACAAACATGTCTATACATCAAGCTTTGTAGTTAAGCTCAACTTCATTAGGTAGAATTATTTCCCTGCATTCTTTGCCTCAAACTATTGAACAAAATAAAATCCAAATTTTTGATGTTGACCTATCGGTTAACACAAACGTTGAGAATAGTCCAATATTCGAGCAATGCAGGAAAGCATTGTAGATTGATATCCCTGCACTGTCACATGGCCTATCTTTGTGGAAGGGCACATGGAATTGTTTCCCTGCTCAGCAGAATATTATTTACATCGATTTTGCAATAAGTGTCACTCCCTAGGAAAGATGTAGACTGCCTTTCTCCCCTCAAAATCATAACCTGCCAAATGTTCTTATGAGATAGGAAAGAAGAATGCAGAGGTAAGATCGAGTACAAAATATTCAAAAGCATCATCTTCCAGTTAGTTTTATCTAAAGTGAACCCTCTCTATGGTACTCTATGGTAATCTTTTAAAAGGTAGAAAAAAAAAGAAATGGAAAAAATTAGTGGTAAAAATCAATTCATACCCCTAAAGTGTTGGGGCTGTATCACTTTAAACCCTAAACTAGTAATTGTATAAATCAAATCCTAGCCTTTCAGTAGTAAGTTAATTTAGACCGGGTTAGGATTCCATTTTAAAACCATTTTAACACGTGCATAAATGTCTTCTTTAAATGCCTGAATTAACGTAGTATTAGAAAAGTACGTTGCAATTAAATGAATAGTAGTAGTTTTCATTAGCATGAGTAATTTTTTATTTTCTCCCCTTCCTCTATTTTTCTTGACTTACTCAAGAAAAATCATGTCATAATTTTTTTTTTTGTTAATTTGGTAGAATTTTGGGAGAAAATAATTTTATTAGGTGATTTCAAAGTTCATTTTAAATGTACGTGGAAATAGTTATCATTCACTAACAGAGGGTCTAGATTGATTTACGCATGAAAGTTTAGAGTTTAAATTGATACCATTATTAATTTAAAGTTTTAATTGATACAAACTCAAAGTTTAGGCTTATAAATTGGTTTTTGTCCTAAAAAATTATGATGAAGTTTATGCCAGCAGAACTAATAAAATTTTCTATCGAGTTTGAAGAAAATGTAAAATTTTGTCATTAAATACGGTTGAAAATGGAGATGAAACAATAGCCAGTGAATTGAAAGGAGCTTCACTACACTAATTGCCCTCCAAGAGCACTGCTACTGAACATTTGATGACATTGGAGAAATAGGAAACACTTAAAGAAATTTATTTCCAAGGGTGTCTACAATACCCTCTGATTGCCGAAAAAGAACTGTATTCATTGTTGTGTAATTCACGCTTGCTTTCCATGGTTGAATTCAATTGCACAAGTTTTATTTCCCATATATGCAACTTCATGTATCATATTGAATATTTATGTCAACTGGATGGCTCCGGAAGTGGGGGAAGTTCCTCATGCCAACAACCATAAACGTGAGCCACTTGGACGAATCATCCACAAGTTGAGGAACATTGTAAGAAGAGGGAAGGGGCTTTTACATTATATGTTTTTGTTTCAAATTACTTGTGCTTTTATCCACTTATCTTTACTAAGTGATGTTAATAGTTAATGCGATCCAATAGATGGTTATTACGTAGTGATCGCTAGACACTTTGAAGTTCTGTAACCAAGCTTAATCATACTTGTGACAATACGGAGTGGTGGTGATGGAAATCACCACATGATTGGCTTGCATTGGTTTTGAGTTCTAGGATAACACTGAATTTGATGGAATGATGGATATTATGTCACCTGAATGTTCATGTCTGGTGTGAAATTAACTTTTATTTAGTTAAAAGTCAAAAGTTGTTTGAAAAACCCATCAAACTAATTGTAGTTGAAATAACTCGATGATTCTGTTTGATAACCCATTAAACTAAGAAGCACTTGGACAAATGTGATTAGATCTGGCTCAAGTTTTGGAAAGTTGTCTCAATGCCCTTTCATTTGGGTTCTTTTTTGTTTGTCTGTCTGTCTGGCTGGCTTGATTAAAATTAAGTATCAATTTTATGATCCATTCCAGTTTGTAAAGGGGTTAAGCCAGGTCAATTGATTGTTGCTCATGACAAGGTAAGGAAATTCCTACTTTGCCCGCACTTTGTTCTCAGACTATTCCCGGTAGAATAAAGTCTCTGTAGTCCTGAGTACGTGGATACTCATTCTAAATCACATGGGAGTCTGTAGTTTGGTTACCGGCCATCTCACTTTTGCCCCCACTCTAATTTTCCCGTCTCTACCAGAAACTGTGCAAGGGAAGTGTTTGAGTTCCCTTGACGAGACAGACGAAGTGTGGGGCTGTGCATCCGATGCTCCGGTTTAACTTGCTAGCCTAACCACGTCTCGAGTTTTGTTTAGTCTCGAAAAAAAAAATGATTAAAGATGTGGGTACATTAGAGATTAAAAGGTCCCCGAAAAAAATATTTGATGTAGTAGTGGACTGGAGTGGTGTGGGATGCGTCCACAAGTGACACTTCTGTCCTAGTTTGTCTTTTACTCCTCGTCTCTTCTTTCTCTTCTGGGTTGGCAGATCGTGCAAGTTCGAAATCATATTTATGCATGTATTTTCAATTTAAACATACTTCAGCTGATTAAATCGTATGTTTTGGTCTAGAGATTTAAATCTCGCAGCTACATATGTTGTTGAAGTCAAAATACTTGGGCACACATATATATTCTCTGGAATATATATTAAAAAAAAAAAACTGCATTGATATTGATAAGGAATTACACTGTAACAAGCGTTGAATGAATGATCTTCTTTTTTCCTATTGAATCTGCTCTCTTGATTTGGCAGTCTGATATTTTCAGTTGATTGATTCAAGGTACTATGAATTGGGACCCAACGACCCGCCTTATGCAGCCAAATTCTACGACTGCTGTGGGGCTGAGGACGCCGAGGCGTCAGGCTGCACCACCAGCTTCCATGTTTCTTATGATGAATGATCATAACAACAATATCTGAAGCTCTTTTTCACTCAGGTCTTGTGCTTCGCACATTCTGTAGATATAATCTCACCACATCATCTGCCAAACAAGGTTCATCTCATCCCTTTTATGATTAAAGCTTCTGAATCACTTTGAGTTCTGTGTTGTGTTTGTAGAGAAGACTCAATGAAACATAACATGATTAGTTTCTGAAGAATGAGTTCAGACAAAGTTACTGTAGTTTTTCATTAGAAAACTATTTCTTGTAAAAAGTTGTTTTTGGTTTCATTTATTTTGTCTTACAGTGGCTGTAAAGTGTGTTCTGATTCTGGGACAGATAAGATTATGTCCGTTTCTCTTGGGACCTTAGGGAGAGATTAGAGAGAGAGAGTAAAAACAAATGGGTGGTGAGGGATTCACGTGTAGGGTTGAACATTATGGTAATGAACTGCAGAAAGATACGGTGGTTGCAGACTACAGAGTCTTCAAATATTGTCTCTATAGGCTTTCTCTTTCGAGTTTTCTCCCAAGGTTTTAAAATGTGTCTACTACATAGAGGTTTCCACACTTTTACAAAAAAATGTTTAATTCTCATCTCCAACCGATGTGAGATCTCACAATTCACCTCCTTTGGGAACCCAGAAAAAATGTTGCCTGGTGTCTAGCTCTGATACCATTTATAACAGCGCGTTAACCAACTATTAGTAGATATTGTCCTCTTTGAATTTTTCCTTCAAAGACTTTCCCTCAAGCTTTTAAAACACCTCTAAAACCGTGAGACCGATAGTAATGCGTAACGGGTAAAAGTGGATAATATCTGTTAGCAGTTAATTTGGGTTGTTACAATGACATTGCAAGTTACAACACAACGGGTTGTTCTTTATGCAGACTTTCCTATCCATGTTTCTAAAAGCAAACTTGTAGTTTATCGTTAAGCTCAAAGATTTCTTTATTGAAATTTGATAGGTGGTTTATCGTCCTCGCTGGCACCACCACCAGTGTGTGGCTCTGATACCATTTGTAATTGTCCAAGTTCACCATTGGCAGAATTTGTCCTCTTTGGATTTTCTCTTTCGGACTTCTCTTCAAGATTTTAAACGTCTGTTAGGGAGAAATTTCAATACTCTTATAAGAAATGTTTCGTTAATCTCTCTAACGATGTTGGATCTTTGTTTTTTTGGTTTATTACTTCAAACTTGGGTGGAAAGAGAGGGAAAAAGTTGTTGAAGTAGGGTGTGTTTGGCTGACACAAGAATATGAACAACAAACAGTGAACAAAAAAAGTAAGAGGAAGAAACACATGTTCCCATGCCCATTGGGTATCTGAATAAATGCTCTGTCTCTTTGCTCCTTTCCAAACATTTGTCTTCCTTTTTTAAATGACTTGGCTTTTTTGACCTCTTCAAAACTCAAATCATCTCTTTAACAAAAACATTCTTATCCATCTCTTCTCTCACTTGGTCGTTCTTCGTTAGGAATTAGAACCCTTCACAATCGTATGATATTATTCACTTTAAACATAAGCTTTCATGACTTTGTTTTGAGCTTCCTCAGAAAGTTTTATACCAATGGAAATGTATTCTTTACTTATAAATTCATGATCATTCCCTAAATTAGCCAACGTGGGACTCTCTCCCAACAATCCTCAACACTCTCAAGTTTCAAATTTAAATCATTTCGAGTTTTAAGCACACTAAAAGTTAAGATCTTTTGATGCGAGCTCAAAGTTATGGCTTCTCAAAGTTTAAATTTGAAGCATTCGGTTGAAGAAGTGTCTGAAGGAAATTTTGTTCAATTGTTGTCGGGCTAGTGGAGACAGAGTAATCGATTCGTAGAGTCAAACTAGGTGAAGAACTATCATGACATCATTTCAAAACTCGTCGAAGTTAAGATACGATTTTCTTTAAGGTTTTAAATGGCTTAATGTTTAGAATTATTAACGAGTTATGTCTTAGTCTCGTCGAGATCCCAAAATATTCTTATAAGAATTTTCTTTTCGAAAAATTGTATTTATAAGTCGATAGTTGAGAGACAATTATATTTATTTGATGAGAAAGTGATAAAGAACTTAATCATCAACCTAATTCATGTGCTTTGATTCTAATAAAGTTGTATAAGATGGTTCTTAATTGGCAATTAAGATAGTGGATTAATGAAAAAAATCATTGTTGGTATGATATAGTGGGATGACACAAGTCGTTGTCATTACAATATATAATGGAATCACAAAAGCATTGTCATTATCAAGATAATATATGTACAACTCCATTTCATTTGTCCTATTAATCAATGTATTATTGCATCATTACAATCATCATTCAATTCGATCTTTCTATTTTTTTTTTAGTATGACGGTTGAGAATTTGAGCTTCTAATAAAAGAAAGGCATTCTCGTGTTTCAACCTCATTAGACTAGTTGTGAGACACTATATATTGAAAGTTTCTACGATGAGCAAGTGAATGGGGTTGGTGCTTTGTGTCATAATCATATTATGAAGAGAGTAGGTTGTGACTTCTACGTCGCTAAGCAAGTGAATGGGGTTGGTGCTTTGTGTCATAACGATACTATGAAGAGAGTAGGGTGTGACTTCCACGTCGAGATGAGCAAAGCAGCGACCCTCAAGTGGAGTTCATTTGGCCAATCAAGGGCCAAGACATATGAGTGTCATGATGCGACCGAGGAGGATGGTGCATCATCCAATATAACGAGTAGACAAGAGTGTCAAAGATAGGGTTGTTGAAGGGCTGAGTAGGGCCTCAGATCTTAATCTCAAAAGTTGGGGTTTTTAAGGAAATTTGGGCATGCGATTCTAGAGTTAAGTCCGTCCATATGAAATATGAAAGTTTACAAAATTTGGTGTCAATTGGACATGGGACAGACGCTCCACGACACTGTATGACTATTCGCCAAAATCTTGTATGGAAATGCCTCAAAATGTAGCTTAGGGGGAGGCATGATGTCAGCTATCTACCACCCTTGACCTTGTGACCTAAGCGAACTACCCTGTGGCACATGTGTGTGTCAAAGTGAGGGCGAGTGTTGCAAGATGAGTTTCTCAGGCAATTTCCTTTAAAATAGATTTTTCAAGGACAGTGTTAAACAGCATGGTGTGCCACATTGCACCCTAGCCCATGGATCGAAGATTGGATTGTACACCCACTATCGGTATGAAATTCGTAAATGATATGCTACGAACACGGGAGGATCCCATGCCTTGATAAAACTCAACATACGGATGTTTGTGATGTCTCAATATTATATACGATACGTGAGCCCATTCTCGATAGACATGATCAAGCGAGCTATGATGGCCAACGACACCCTGCGACTTGGGTTGGCATCAAAACATATGGACCATGTTAATTAGGAACCTAAATGATGTTGAGATGCGACGTTACATTAAGAGACCTTAGCCCCGAGTAGAGGCAAGGTTGAGCCAAATGACTTGGTCTAGTGTAGAGGCAAGTCGGTTAGATCGCAGAAGATTGAACATGTACGCACAGCCAGCGTGTGTACCCATACAAGCTTGGATTCTACAAAAAAAAATTTATGTTCAATTGGCGAAGACAAAATTCATCTATGGTTCGACGAATCCACAAAGACAGACGAAAATATATATGGGGCTTGAGTTCCCCTCAAGACTGATCGTAAGCGTGTCAAGATCACAACGCCACACGATTGAAAATGTACGACTGTGACACATAGCGAATGAAACAGTTCATCAAAAGATTTAAAGGATAAATGTAAAGGTAGAACTCCGAACCCTAACCCTAACCCTAATAATATGATATTCCAATCAATTTGCCAACTAATTCTACAAGAAACACCTAATGTTTTTTTTGTTTGTTACCACTTCCCACTCACCTTCCTACCCATTTCTTTATTAACTAATTTAAATAATAAAAAATAATTTTCTATTGTCTTTCTCAATCATTCAATATATATATATATAAACTATATTATATAAAAATAAATTAGAAGAATGGAAATTTCAACTATTAAATTAAAAAGTACAATTTTTTTTTGGAAAAATAAAAATAAAAATAAAAATATTTTTTTATTTTACTTATATGGCATCATAATCTTTTATCTTCCTTTAAAAAAACATAATTATTATTATAAGCTATTTTAAAAATTATTTTCTAAATTGGAAATTTACATTAAAATAAGAGATATGAAATTAGGGAAATTAGGGAAATTATTGTATAGAATTAAATGTTTAAATAAAGGAAAAAAAATTAAAGTTGGATATATTTTCTAACTGTTAAGAAATAATAAATAAATTTCTTAATATAAAGTATATTTTTTTAATAAATGTACAAAAAAAAAAAAGTCCCCTGAATTTTTTCCCTTTAATTACACTTTAATTTTTTAAAAAATATATATATTATATATATATATTCTCATTTTTCATTAATTTTGATTAAAAAGGAGAAAAAATGGGGATCATAGGTCCAACTGTGTCCAATGAAAATGAAACACGTGGACATCTTAAAATAAACGGGCACGATGTATAAAGATTGAAAATGAAAGGGCATCTGACATAAATAACAATTTGTCTGATACACAAAAAGAATATATAATATATATTTTTAAAAAAAAAAGTTTATTTTTATTACGAAAATGCCACACTCATGGATCCTTTGGCCCCTCAAATAGATTTTGAGAGGTTTAAAAGTGATTGCCAAATAATAATAATAATAAATAAATGATTATGAACGAGTTTAGCAAAATCATTATATCTAAACCGAACTATTTAATAATTAAAGATGTTCATTTAGTTTAGGGTTAGGATTAGGGGTAGAGCTACACGAGAACCTACCTCGAATAGAATAGAAAATCTCGGTTTAAGTGGAGAATGAGGAGGGAGTAGAGAGAGATTTTTCCTTGTTCGTTAAATGCAGTCGAGAACAGGGACTCTATGCTGTAATATTAATATTTGAATTTTTAGAAATTATGTTTTTTATATTTTTTAAATTATATTGAAAATTTAAATTATTCACTAAAAAATTAATTTAAATTAATATTTTGTATAATATATATTACCCCTAAATCCATTAAGATATTAATTTTAGGTGTAAATTTAATATTAAAATTAAATAGGAGGAAAAAAATTGAGTTGAAAAATATTTTAAGGATAAAAGAAATATAACCTTTTAAGAAAATAAAGACAAAATTTTGAATTAAATAAGGAAGTTTTGATTATTAAAAACAGCTGGGCAGTTGACCAAATTATATTGTTATTTATTTATTTATTTTTAAATGATAATAAATAGGGTTTGTTAGATTAAAGAAAATTCGCTTCGACTCCTAATTCGAATCACTCTACAAGATAATTTGATTAATACCATTTGAATGACTCTAACGTAAAAATTTTATATAAAAATATAAAGCAATAACGTGAATAAAAGTCTGACTTATCTAATGGGTCGACTAACTATCTGACACAAAATTTCATAAATTTATTAAACATAAAATCGAAAGACGTAAAAATTCATATTGAAATCAAAGGACCCATTAAACGTTTTTTAAAAAAGATAATTTATCTGATACGAATTTGGAAGCTCGAAGACTAAATTTGTAATTGAACTATAAAACGTAAAAAAAATACGAACAAAAAACCTCGAAGAATGATTCTTTTGTCTTTTTAATTCAAGATCGAACTGTCGATTTTTGAAATAGATGTCTTATCTATTAATCTGTACTCGAATCGACCATTTCTGAAAGATTGCCGTAAAGAAGTATCTAGACAAATATATTCTTTTAATTTTTAATGAACTTCGTTTGATGAGATGGGAGATTGACTTTGATAAGCTTTAATAAGAAAATTTTCCAAGCATTAAAATGGTTTTTTTTTTTCTCAAATAATTTAAATAATCATTAATTATATATCTTACTAAAATTTTATTTTTGTCTCAATAGTCGTTAGTTTAATCTTTAAAAAATGTAATATTTATATGATTTTTCAAACTCAATAATTACCCTTTAGAAAAAGTATTAAAATAATAATAATACTAAATAAATAAATTAAATTAAATTAATTAAAAATATCCTTCCACTTTTAAAAGCTTTAATTTACCATTGAATTAAAAAAAATTAATAAAATAATCGTTAATTTTAAATAGAAATGGCTGATACTTTATTTCAAAATATCCTTAAAATTTTAAAATATTTAAAATATTACATTTTAACTTTTTTTTTTTTCAAAAATTCTATTAATGCCCTTACCATTTTTTAAAAATTTCAAAAAATATCCTTATATTTTTTTAAAAAATTTAAAAATATATAAAAAGAAAATATTTGTATTACATTTAAAAAAATAATCATAAACTTTGAAAAATAATATTTAAAAATTTAAAAATAATATATGAGATGAGAATAAACAGGTTTTAAAGATTTTTTTTATAAAGATAAAATATATTAATTTCATTTTTAAAATTTCACGAGTATTTTTTCAAATAAAAATAGTCCTTGTTCTTACCGAAAAACTACTGGTAACAATTTTTAAAAAAATTTAAAAATCTATGAATATTTTTATTAATGGAGAAAAAAAAAACCACTAAAATTAATGATAGATAAGAAGTGGGTAACTTTTAGAATCCAATTTACCCATTAAAAAAAAAAAAGTTGAAAAAGATGGAAGAAGAAGAACATTGAAGCAAAAGTTTTATTTTTTACAGTTCCCAAAAAAAAAAAAAAAAAAATCGAAAATTTAATGTTTTTGAAAAGGGGAGAAATGAAATTGAAAATCTGATGGGGTGAGGGTTCAGATGTTGGGGTTTGGGTTTGAGGCCTAAAAAGAAAGGTCTTCCATTCCTCAAATGGCCTCTGGAATAAAGCAGCCATGGTTGTTGTAGCTTTACCTGCTGAGAACAGAGAGAGACCAGCAGGCCCATTTTGGTCATTTTCTAGAGAGAGAAAGAAGAGAGAGAGAAAGAAGAGCACCTACAATCTTCATTGTTGAGTTGTAATCCCTGGTGTGGGTTTGCCAATTTGAGGGACACCAAAACCAACCCAAATTATTTCACTTTCTCTTCTTCTTTCTCTTTCTTTCTTCTTATGAACCCATTTTTTCCTTTACCTTCTTCTTCCTTCTTGGCTTTCCTTCTTTGTCTCTAACAACAACTCAGAATCTCTGAAACTTGTTTCAACAATTCATAATGCCGCCATTTTAGCACCTTCCCACCTCCCTTTTCTGCTCTGTTTCTTCTCTTCTACACCACTTTTCTCACTTCATCTTACTCTGCCGCCGCCATGTCCACCAAATCTAAGTATGTCTTCTCATCTCATATGGGTTTGCTTTTGCTGTTCTTGACTCCTCGATCACTTCTTCTGGGTCTAATTTTAATTCCCTCTCCCAATTTTCTTGGATCTTCTGTTTATCCCCGTTTTAGGGCCACTTTGGTTCTCTCATATCTTCTTTTTCTTTCAATTTTTTCTGCTCTGTTCTTTACTGATTCCGCTTGTTTCTCTGTTCTGTGTTCTGGGTTCTCTGTTTTTTTTTACTCTCTGTTGCACTATGTCTTGTTTCTGGGTTCGTTGTGTTAACATTTGATAGCCAATTTGACGGTGGTTTCTTTGAGATCTCATACTCTGTCGGTTAGATCTACTTGGAAGTAATTTTAGGATGTTTTTCTTTCAGAGTTGGTGTGTTCTGCTGCTTTTTCTGATTGAATTTGTTCTTGAGGAGGCTTAAATGTTTCTGTAGTTCATAATTTTTGGATGTTCTTTAGGAATTTGAGATGGGTTTGTTTGGATTATGTTGATTACTCCATTTTGATTGTTCTTAACAGATCTTCTACACCTGAAACTCCCAACAAAACATCGCCTGCAACTCCTAGAGTGAGCAAACTTAATAGAGGGCTTGCTAAATCAGATTCTGATTCTCATTCTCCTTTGCAAAGGTCTCGGCTCTCGATCGACCGGTCCCCTCGACCTGCAACGTCGAAGCCTGCGGTCGATCGTCAGCTGCCGAAAGTTGCTACCCCACCTGATGTAAGTTCTAGCTTAGGCACTCAAACTGTTCTTCCACCAGAATTGGTAATATGTGAATGCATATCATTATAGCCTGTTGATTGTTCTTGTTATTTCAGAAAGCACAGCCTCGTGGTACCAAAGTTGCTGAGATACAGGCTCAGCTAAATGTGGCTCAGGAGGATCTGAAGAAGGCAAAAGAACAGATAATTTTGGTTGAAAATGAGAGAGAAAAGTTGAGCAATGAATTGAAAGAAGCACAGAAATCAGCAGAGGAGGCGAATGAGAAGCTCAAGGAAGCTCTGGTGGCGTGCGGTCGAGCTGAAGAGAGTTCCGAGATCGAAAGGTTCCGAGCGGTTGAGATGGAGCAAGCTGGACTTGAGGAAGCACATAAGAAAGAAATGGAATGGCAGAAAGAGATGGAAGCTGTGAGGAGCCAACATGCTTTAGATGTTGCAGCTCTCTTGTCCACGAGTCAAGAGCTTCAAAGAGTGAAGATGGAGTTGGCTATGACTACCGACGCTAAGAACCAGGCGTTGAGCCATGCTGATGATGCGACGAAGATCGCCGAAATTCATGTCGAAAAGGTCGAGATTCTCTCTGCTGAGCTAACTAGATTGAAAGCATTGTTAGACTCCAAGCTCGAAACACAGTCGAATGAGAATGGACAATTGATAACGAAGCTTAAATCAGAGATTGAATCTCTGAATTTGGAGCTTCAGAAAGCAAAATCATATGCAGAGAAGGTTAAGGAGCAAGACGCTTCAATCGAGCAGCTTAATAACGAACTAAAATCTGCAAAAACAGCGGAAGCGTGCTACGAGGAAACGATCACGGCGAAAGAGGCTTCCATTGAACAGCTTAATATCGATTTAGAAGCAGCAAAGATGGCTGAGACATACGCACATGGGTTAGTAGAAGAATGGAAAAACCGAGCCGAGGATCTAGAAACACAATTGGAGAATGCCAACAAGCTCGAACGATCGGCATCGGAATCTCTCGAATCAGTGATGAAACAATTGGGACACAACAATGATCTATTGCATAATGCAGAGCTTGAGATTTCAGCTCTAAAAGAACAGGTAGGTTTGCTGGAAATGACTGTTAAAAGACAGAAAGACGACATGAAAGAGTCGGAGCAGCATCTTCATCGTACGAAGGAAAAAACATCAGAAATGGAGAAGTTGGTCGTGTCACTGAGGTCTCAGCTGGAAACTGTCATGGAAGAGAAAACTCAAGCTTTGAATAATGAGAAGCTTGCAGCTTCAAGTGTACAAAGGCTATTGGAAGAGAAAAACCAGCTCTTAAATGAGTTAGAAACCTCCAAGAATGAGGAAGAGAAGAGCAAAAAGGCTATGGAAAGCTTGGCGTCTGCATTACACGAGATCTCATCCGAGGCGAGGGAAACCAAGGAGAAGCTGTTGTCTACTCAAGCCGAGCACGAAAACTACGAATCCGAGATAGAGAATCTTAAGATGGTCTTGAAAGCTACAAACGAGCGATTTGAAAGCATGCTCGAAAACTCAAACCACGAGATCGATATTCTAACGAGGAGTGTTGAGGAATCGAAGCACGAATTCGAGATGTCGAAGGCTGAATGGAATGAGAAAGAGCTTCACCTGGTGGATGCTATGAAGAAATCAGAAGAAGAGAACTCTTACTTAGAAAAGGAAATAGATAGGCTTGTGAATTTGCTTAAACATACTGAGGAAGATGCTTGTAAGATGAGGGAAGAAGAAGCTCAGCTAAAGGATAGCTTAAAGGAAGTAGAAGCGGAAGTGATCTATTTGCAGGAGGCGCTCGGAGAAGCGAAATCCGAGAGCGTGAAACTGAAGGAAAGCTTGCTAGACAAAGAGAACGAGTTGCAGAGCGTTCATGAAGAAAACGAGGAGCTTCAAACTCGGGAAGCTGTTTCTCTTAAGAAAGTTGAGGAATTATCCAAGTTGTTTGAGGAAGCTTCTGCTAAAATGCAAACCGTAGAGAACGGTGAGCCAACAGACAGCGAGAAGGACTACGATTTACTACCGAAAGTAGTCGAATTCTCCGAAGAGAACGGTAAACGACAGGAAGAGAAGAACAAAGTGGAGCCATTGATACCCATTGAACAAGAAGAACACAAATTTGAGTTTCCATGGGTAGATAACGGTGCTGATTCAGTCGACAAGACAGAGAAAACGGACTCGGAAACAACGGTTCCAAACGGAATCGACAAACCGAAAGAAGAAGAGAAAAAAGACGAGTCAGTTCAAGTTGAATACAAAATGTGGGAGAGCTGCAAGATTGAAAAGAAAGAGTTCTCACAAGAGGGAGGAGACCAACAAGAACACGAATCCATTGATGACGAAGGGGACTCGAAAGCAGAGGGCGGAGAGAGTTTCGATCGGATAAACGGGGTAAGCTCAGAAAATGTAGAGGATGGTGGAAACTCGCCGTCGAAGCAGGCGCCGCCGCAGCAGCAGCAGCAGGAACAGAAGAAGAAGAAGCCATTGCTGAAAAAGTTTGGATATCTTCTGAAGAAGAAGAACAGCGTGAACCAGAAACAGTGATGATATAGATAGTAATTTTGAGGTGAATTGGTTTGGTTATGATATTGTTTCTGTTCTGATGATATTCTGAATAGAGTTTCTTGTATGTTATTGGGATATTTGTTTTGTTCATTGTTTTAATGCCTTCCTTCATTACTGATCTTAGAGTTTATGAAAAGGAGTGATTACTTGAGCTTGTATCATCATCATCTTCATCTTCCATCCATTATACACATTCTTTGTTAGCTCTTTGTTAGCTGTTGCAAATGAGAGCTGCTTGCGTTTGTTTGTTTCATTCCCCTCTCCAACCCTTATAAGGCTGGCACACCGCCCTGTGTCCGACTCGAATACCATTTGTAACAACTCAAGCACCCTTATAAGGCTGGCACACCGCCCTGTGTCCGACTCGAATACCATTTGTAACAACTCAAGCACCCTTATAAGGCTGGCGCACCGCCCTGTGTCCGACTCGAATACCATTTGTAACAACTCAAGCCCACCGCTATCCATCTATGGAGTTGGACAGTTTGGGCATTGAATGAATGAACGGATGGTGTGTTTTGATAGTTTGAAGTGAAATGAAAGCAAGAAATGTGGTACTCATTTGTTTAATAGTGAGTCATATAATATCTGGTTTGGAAATGTTACCTAAATTAGTTGCCTCAAATAATCACCAAATATTGTCTCTCTCTCTCTCTGGGGGCCTTTCAAATTCTTTATTTATTTAATATTATTATTATTATTCTAATAAAAATAATATTACATTAAAAAAAAAAAAAAAAAAGAGTAGAAATTGAAACCTTACCAAAATGCAAAATTGTTATATTATAAGAATAATAAATAATGAGATCTAATTGGAACATGAAAATCAATGACGACATAAGACACGCCAACTAACAATAATAATAATATTTGGTGTATATGAAGTTTGAATAATAAACTTTACCTAAGTATATGTTTTAGTTTTTAATATTAAGCCCAAAAATTAATTCCTTATAATATTAACATTTTTCAATTATATTGGCTACCTTATAACTTAAGCTTAAAGTATTCTTCTTAGTTGTTTTATGTGTGAACATTAGATCATGATACCACGTCAGTGATGAAGAGTTGACTACGTACCAAAGGACGAGGTAAGGGTGTAATAAGTTTGACTCGAGAAGATTTTGTGGGTCAAATTGTAACAGCCCAAACCTACTACTAGTAGATATTGTTCTCTTTCGGGTTTTCCTTCAAGGATTTTAAAACGTGTCTGCTAGGGAGAGGTCTGTACACCCTTGTAAAAAAATGTTTTGTTCCCTCTCGACAATAGATTCGGTGAGCCAAATTGTAACAACCGAAGCCCACCATTAACGGATATTGTTATCTTTGGACTTTCTCGAGAATTTAAAAAAAAAAAAAACAACTCAAACGTAGAGAATTTAAATATACATCCAACGATAGAAATAGAAATAATAGAAAGAAAAAAAAAGAAGAATATTGAAGAAGAGAGGAGAAAAAGGGAGGGTTCAATCTCTCTAAACGCTGATTGGTCCGCCGACAGACACCGCCGGTCCCAAAACCCCTTATCTTTCCATCTCCGACATTGCTTTTTCCAATGACTAATTAAAACATATTATATTCGCATTTGCTTTTTTTTTTTTTACGTTTTTCAAATAAGAAATGTTCTTGTTCTTTCTTTAAAAAAAATTAATAGAAATATTTAATTTTTGAATTAATAGATTTAATAATTTATTTAAAAAAATATTCTTAAATTTCTAAATTTATTTAAAAAAATATTCTTAAATTTTCAATACATAATAAGTTTTAAAGTTATACATCGAATTCAATTTTTGAATTAATAGATTTAATAATTTATTTAAAAAATATATAAGTTTTGAGTTATACATCAAATAATGAGTAGATTTAATAATTTATTTAAAAAATATTCTTAAATTTTCAATACATAATAAGATAATGTTTTTTTCATATTAATTAAATTATAAATTTAGTTTTTAAATTATCAAATTTGTATCTAAATTGGCTATTAGATTCTCAAACTTCCATTTATTTTTCAAGTTTCTAAATTTAATATTAAAAATTTGCAAATTAATTAATATATAAAATATAAAAACTAATTTTATATCTAACCCAATCATAAACTTTCAATCCAGTGTGAATTTCGATAAATGTCAATATGTACAAAAAAAAAAAAAAAAAAAAAAAAAAAAAAAAAAAAAAAAAAAANAAAAAAAAAAAAAAAAAAAAAAAAAAAAAAAAAAAAAAAAAAAAAAAAAAAAAAAAAGGCAATACAAAAATTTTAGACCTATTAAACACAAAATTAAAGGATCAAGAACCATAAAAACACAAAACACAAATCTTTTCAAGTCGAGAACCATAAAAACACACTCACGTAAAAGTTTGAGAGATATTAGACACAACATGTCTGACACTTGTTAAAATCAATTTAATCTTATTTCATTGATCTTGTTTTGACAGTAAGAACGAAGTTTATGTCGAACCCACGAACATGGAAGGTGAACGTGTTATCATTTTATCGAAAGTAAAAATCAGCCTTCACAAACTCCTTTCTCAAGCATGTAAAAAAAAAATCAGCTGAAATAAGTGAAACTAAACAGTAAAACACATTTAATTATTATACCTCCTTAATAACCCAAAAAAAAGAGAGTGAACCATTAAATTCTTCTCTTCTAATACTTAATAGCAGAACGTAGAAATACAGTTTATCCTTAAAAACTAAACAGCAATCAGCCATTGAGGAGATAGACAATAAGCAAAGTGATAGATACTACATGGCCATCTATCTATCTATCTCTCTATGCACTCAGAGTCAAGGAGATAACTGAAGAGAGTTTGAACTTACGAGCTTTCGACGAATTCTGAGGTTGAAACAAAATCTCTGTGCTCGATCTTACTGTCACTTCTTTCCACTCTGAAGTTGGAGCTAAGCCCCCACTTCGGTAATCGCGTGGACCGTATAATACTTGTAGCCTTGTAGGAGCTGCAATTGGTATTTATACCGAAGTAATAAGATAAAGAATACAATCACAATAACTTCACCAATTTGAAGATAACATATTAAGGGTAACATACTAAGGATGGTGGCTTAGCTTATAGTAATGCTGTTAATTCAATGATAAATGATGATATGACTATAAGACTTGGCTAGTTCGAAGGGGCAAATGTTAAAAAAGAGCTATCCAACTGGAATAGAGTTAGAATGTTGTGAGATCTTATACATCGGTTGGGGAGGAGAACGAAACATCCTTTATAAGGGTGTGGAAACCTCTCCCTAGCAAATGCGTTTTAAAAATGTTGAGGGGAAGCCCGAAAGAAAAAGCCTAAAGAGGATAATATCCGCTAGCAGTAGGCTTGGGCCGTTACAAATGTTCTATACGTTATCCTATCCTAAGAAGCAAGTAAGAGTTTGAGCATGATACATCCAGATCCAGCTATCTACTTCATTCAATAGACCTTTTGGACACACTCCCCGCAAGATCCAGCCAAGGGGGAGCGCTGGTGGGGTTGGAGTAATGGCATTAAAATCCCACCAAAATCAGCGGAGCAAGGAACAGTTCCTTGCTTAGCTTGACCACAGAAATATTCCCATCTTAAAATATCCCACTATTCTCCTAAAATTGCCCCATGTTAGAGATGTAAAAATTGTAAACAGTCAAGCGTCAGCCTCATCTACGACTGAACAGATTATAAACCCAAGGTACAACAGGATCAGCACAAGAAACCTCGAAAAGTAGAAGGACCATCATTTAAATCCACCACATGATGCTTTCCTCTGAATGACAATGATAGGTATAAAACTTATGAAGCGCAAAATGATAAAAGAAAACAATTGAATCCTTATGAAACTCAATGCAGCCAAGAGCACCTTAAAAAGAACTGGCGCAAAAATAATAACAGGATTGATATGGAGATATACACAACTGGTGCAAAATTTTTCTTCTTGTTCTTTGAGATTTCTATAATATTAGGGAGAGCCCATCAAAACAATACGAGATAAACATAAATTGAGCTTCCTCAAGATCGCAGGAACCGAACTAAGGGGTGTTTGAATTGAGGAGTTGGATGAGGTGTAGTTATTAAGTCTACTCCACCCCTTGTTTGGCCAAGAGTTTTTAGATATGGGTAACTTGGGAAGTAGGATAGGGTGGGGAGTTATTAACTTCCCACGTGGAGTAGACTTTTTCAATAAATTTTATAATAATTAAAATATAAATAGAACTTAAAAAATCATTATTTGAAATCATAATGCAGATCTCAGTACTACAAAACAATTTTTTTAGTTTATAAAACCCTTCCTACCCCTCTTCCACTACACATCCTCTACAATTTAAATTAAAATTTCTTATAACAAATAATAAAAATATTATGTTATTTTTGGTACTTTCTTTTAAACTTAATAAAATAAAATTAGAACCACAAATAACATAAATATAGAATATTTTGAACAAAAGAATGTGTACAATATTCATTTTGAACTTAATCATGTTAAAATAGCATAAATATATGATTTTTTATTTTTTAACTTAGTTATTTGTATTTTAAAACTTCAGACAATGTATCTCATTTTAAACTAATCAATCTTTGGAGGAACGAATATATATTAATTAAAACTTTTGAAAATCCTATAATTGAACAGTACAACAAGATAGTAGAAAAAAAACAGCCAATGTAAACTACGACTCAATAACTTCGTATTAAGAAACTTTGCACTCCAAACACAGACTAAATAACTCTCCCGAACTATTGGACTCTCCATACTAAACAACTCTACACCCTAACTAATCAGCACGGATTAAATAACTCTCCAGTCTAGATTAAAGAACTTCATGTTAAATAACTCTGGAGCACACCCCTAAGACAGAATAGAAGCAATGGAATCTCGATGGCTGGCTAACTTAATAGATTTGGGATGACACAGACATGTACGATGTTAGAGAAAATGGAAAATTAGAGGGAAATTACGAGCTGATCAATCAACAGTAAATGTTGAAAATCATGAATTACTAACTCCTCCATTTCATAACATAAAAGTGATAAAGCAAACAGTTGAAGACTCTTATCAAGTAGTAAAAATGCAGAACATTACCGAATCCAAGCATGCTCGTCTTTTGAATGGTCAGATGACTAATTTTTGACCGTTTGATATCTCTCAAATCCTGAACATCTTCTTCCTTGCCCTTGAATTCCAGAAATTCTCCAAGTATATATTTCCCTTTGAGCTCCAGTCTGA